GTCTTGCACAGGAACACTATTCAGGCTGCCTCTGGCTTGAGTCCTAGAGAGAGACCTTTAAGCAAGAACACTGGGTTGATTTGGCTAACAGGCCCTGGCAGACTAGAAGCTCCTCGCAGTGCAGCCCAGGACCTACAAAGAAGAGGTAACAAGGCCTTGAGCCCAGCAGAGTGTGCCAACGCATGTGGCACTGGCGGAGCCCAGCAGATTCGAGCAGGCATCAAAGGGAGATGGCATCAAGAACAGCAGCAATCGGTCAAGGCATTTCAAAGGCCTGGCAGGTACCAATGGCGTCAGGAGTCTCCAGGCAGGGGTTAAGATATTTGACTCTGAGAAGTGAGAACTACAAGAAGCAGCCCTTAGAACCACTTCCAACATACACACATCTCCAGAAATAGGTGGCCTTGGGGTTATAAAATATAATAGCAGATGAGAGGAGAGCCCCAGCAAAAGCAAGATTCCTATACATAGGACCCTACAACTAACAGACCAGCTATGAGAACAGAACACAGCCAGGGAGGTCGACACACTCTGCAGGGCACAGCGCCACCATTTACTCACTGTCTTCACTTTTAAACATGAAAATCTTGATATTGAACAGCGAGGACCTAGACCTTGAATTTCAATCTGGGCTCAAAAACCTTTGTTGGTTAATGATACGGAGAATAATGCTTAGTATTATGATACATGCCGAATTCTTTATCACCCCTTTATTCCTATGAATCTCCCCAAAATATGTATTACAAAACCTTGCAACTCTCAAGAATCTCTCTTTATGTACAAAAAGTATTCATTAGTTTTTCTCCACTTAGGAAAAAGGTAACAATTGAATGCCAAGCTTCAAAGCAAGCAAAGCTGCCCTAAAGCTCCAATTTGAGACTTGGTAGCACCTGATGTCCTGTGTCTTTGGCACTATTTGGCAATATAGTTTCTGGCCCAGTCCAGCCTAACCTCAGCCTGACACCTGGCGCTTCATTAGAAGACATAAATCAGAAATTCTGCCCTTCTCTCATGCCAGCCCAGTAAATGACTACTTATTTCTTGAAAAGGGGGAGAAATTCTAAGATTGACATACTTTCCTGAAACTTCCCTCTTCTAAATAAACAAGGGGGGATATGAAAGGAAATACTCCCCCCTTCTTGGCATGGCCTGGACACAGTGTTCCTCATGCTTACCCTCTAAACACATTGCAAAACACATTATGGAAATCCAGCTTACACACTGTGCTCATAGTGTATAATAAGCTTTTTCTTAAAAAGAACCAAAAGGGAACTTAAAATGCCATTCATTTTTATTAGAGAAAAGCAATATTCCTTTTTTTAATTTAAGCTTCTGTGACATCTCTTGCATCCTATTTGGTTAAAGTATTTGAGTTGCATTTTTTAAAAATATTTATTTGTGCATACAGAACTGGAGTATAGGCCAGAGGTGCAGGGGTGGTGAGAGGATTCACAAGAGACAAAGTGGGGAGCAGAACAGGTAGATCGATGCAGTACACTGTTGAGGCAAGCAACAGGCCAGACAGGACAGGACTGCTGAGCCTTGTGGGTCACCTCCCTAGCTGGGAATCGAACTCATGTTGCAGTAGCTGCAGGTAGCTTCCTAGTACTGCACTTTAACTGGCTGTATCACCAGGGAGAACCCTGAGTTGCATTTTAAGGAAATCTGAAGAGCAGGCTACTTTGGGAATCTGAATTTGGCCTCAGCATTTAACTTGCTATTTGTCAGGGTTCCTAATATTTCCTATAAACAGGTGTTCTCACCCAGACTGAGTGTCAATTGCTTGTGGAACTTTAAGAAATTATAGATGCCATGCTTTAAAGTCTTGTTTGAGTCAGAAACTGCACATGTAAAATTGACCTAAAGAACAATCATTTATGCTGTGGGATTCCTCACACATGGCTCCAGAATTATCCCCAATGTGTTGGTCAGTAGATAAAGCTCACAGAAAAGTAATTTGAGGCTCTCTTACAGTGCTGAGCTTTAACCCATTGCACCACCAGGGAGGATAAAAAAGTATTTTGAAAAGACCCATCTTGTGCTTCTGGGGCATATGCCATCAGTAAGATCCCTTGCATGAAACTCAACAGGTGGTCCATGGAAATCACTTAGTAGCTCAATAAAAATCATTATCATTCATTGAAGAACTTTTTTGGTAAGTCAATAACAAAAAGAAATAACTCAAAGCAACAGATTCTTTTCCTTCTTCCTTTCCTCTCTACAAACTTCCAAATCTGGGTCAGTCCTACAGTTCTATTTCTTTATCAAAGCTCAGAATGCTGAGGATTGTTGAAAAATCACCATGTTGGAGGTTTTTCCCAGGTCAGATTCATGGTTCCCACTTTTCTCTGTACCCTAAGCCTCGTTCTTCCATTTCTCCTTGTCCCTGACCTACTTCTGTCCCGTTCATGTTATAAATTCTCTCTTCTGCTCATCCCCATTGTATCAGCAGGTATCTCTGCTTCCTATTGCACAAAAATAACTGTGAATATCTAATAACTGGGACATTATTGATGTAAATCACTTCTGCCTTCCTTGCATCCATCCACCTCTGTCACATCTCACAAAAGTGAGTAACAGGAGAATTTTAAAAACTCTCTTAGTGCCTGCTCCCCATTCCCAAGTATGACTTAATTATCTGGGGTACAATCTAGGAATTAAAAGTTGATGAACCCTTTGATGACTCTATGGTGCAGCCAAAAGTAAGAATTTCCATTTGGGGACCATAAATCAGAATTATTCAATGTGTTATCTATTTTAAAACATACATATGTCCAAGTCTCATCTCCAGAGATCCTGCTCCTGTACATCTAGGAGGCTGTGCTTGGCTCTGATGTTTTAAAAGCTCTCTATTAGATTTGTTGTTTTGTTTTGTTTTTTAAATATTTATTTTTTTATGCATAGAGAACTGGAGTACAGGCTAGAGGTGCAGGGGCAGTGAGACGCTTCACCAGAGACAGAGTGGGGAGCAGAACAGGCAGCTCTATGAAGTACACTGCTGAGGGGAGATGCGGGCATGCCAGGAGAGGTCTGCTGTGCCATGTGCGTCACCTCTGGGGCGGGGATTGAACTCATGCTGAAGTAACTTTAGCTTCTTAGTGCTGTGCTTTAACCCACTGCGCCACCAGGGAAGGCCCTAAAGCTCTCTATCAAATGTTTTTACTATGTTAAAAATACCAACATAAATGATTGATTGTGTGTATACGTATATGTGTGTGTGTGTGTATGTATGTATGTATACACACACGTGTATGTACATTTAAAAAAAGCTCTTCAAACCTTGCATATATGCTGATTCAGAAATTAGACATGTAGGCACTGAACCCAAAGAAAAAGCATGAAAGCATTTATGCTGTGAAATTGGACAGCACTTGACCCAAGTCTTTGGGTGTTAAAGAGACTACACAGAAGGATCTGGACTAGGGCCACTGCGAGCAGATTTATTGGAAAACCTTATACTGTCAACATCACACTTGGCACCTCTTACTGATGTGACAGCGGAAACCACCTCCTCTGGAGAGCTCCATGTTTGCCACTCACATAGCCTGCTGGGCTCACCTCTAGCAAGCTGATTCTGACCATGCAGATGTGCCGAATCGAGACAAGCTGCCTTGCTACACTGTTGGGACACCCTCCTAGCCTCCCTCTGTGTCTGTCTGCATGTGTGCCGAGCCCACAACCCTCTCTTTTGGCAGGCATGGTCACTGAGCACTCTGGGCATGTGCAGATGCTTAGGGTCTTCTAAGGACACTCTCTGTGGTCATCCTCCTGATACCATCGGCTGTCTTCCAGAGCAGTTAACTATGTCTCCAGTCCCTGCTTGGTCAGTCACCTTGCCTAGTAGCTTCTGATTCCCATATTCAAAAAGGGGCCCCTAAATACAGACCACCTGCACTATTCAAACATCTGTGCTCTAGCCTGGCTCAGCTCCCCTGCCCAACTCAAACACACACCATTTTATTCATTCTAATCACATCCTTGCCCTTTACTACTCAAGCATTTTCACTTCTGAACAAGTCATAACAGTAGTGGTTATCATAGTTTAAAACTAGGGAGGGAAAAACCTAGTAGTCCAGCAAAAGGGTTTGCTAATTAATAACAGTTCATTGACATAGGAGTATTTGACCAGTATATATAAAACAACAGAAGACACAATAAGACACACAATATTACTTTCCTTTCCCAACTTTTTTTTTTAAGATTTATTTATTCATACAGAATTGGGGTACAGGCCAGAGATACAGAGGGTGAGATGCACCAGGGACAGAGCAGGGAGCAGAACAGGCAGATTGACGAAGTACACTGCTGAGGGGAGCCACTGGCAGGTCAGGAGAGGTCTGCCGTGCCATGTGAGTCAGCTCTGGGGCAGGCGGGGGTTGAACTCATGCGGAAGTGGCTTTAAGCTTCTTAGTGCAGTGCTTTAACCCACTGCGCCACCAGGTAGGGCCCTCCCAACATTTTTAATAAGGAACTAAATTATTCTCAACCTTGTTCATCACTTACCCTTTCCCTACATCTTCATGCAGGAAGCCTTCTTTGTAGCCTATAGGCTTGTGTTTGGAATTATGTATTACAACTTATATGTTTATGAATGTATGTGTTAATACAAACTCCAGCGTTCAATGAGAACACCACAAGGATTCAAAGAAGACTTCCACTCAGACAGAAAGTTCACATAAATGCAGAAAATACAGAATTATTAAAAACAGCTCAATTTCAGAATAAACTTATGTATGTAAGGAGTTTGCACAAGTAGCAAACACTGTGGCTATTCCCAAGTCCCTGCAGTTTAAGACAAATGCACTCAACTCTGGAGTGGAGAGGCCCTGGGAGATAGTTCCCTCAACAGATGGCAGCTGGATGCCAGTTTATCTGCTTTGACATCTGCTAAACATAATAGTCCATAGTCTCATACCCAAGGGCAAAGAGCAAACATGGAACTAAGAGTTTCGGATTTCCTGGTGGCTTCCAGATCGGCTTGGCCATTTCATTTGAGGAGCAAGAGTGAATCTCTGTTGTTTCCCTCCAAGCTGTTGTAGTCATCTTTGACTACTCGTAAGTTCACTTTTGTGACTCACCCCGGTTATCCGTTTGCCCAACAGGAACTGATTAAACAAAACCCTATTTCTAAAAAAAATTTTATCTATACAAAAGCTAGCATGCAAATAATGTGAATGAAACACAGGTACTATGTGTTGAAATTAAATGAAAGTTGAGAGACTGTATGGTTACCAAACAAAAGAGTCAATTAAAAAAGTACTTTTATTTTTAAGGCCAACTTACATTTAGTTTCAACTGAGACTATTTTGTTCCTTCAGAAGATGGTAGCATAGCTTGATTTTATTAGTGTAACCTTTAGGTTTTTTTCTTTTCTTTTTTTTTTTACACAATCAAAAACAGCATAACCTTGGCCATAAATGCATTAATCACACTAATTCCTGTACCAAACATATCCAAATTAAATGTTTTATTTATTCATCAAACTTAAGGTTTTAAGAATGATCCTAAAAATACAAATCTACAGTAATTTGTTTATATAATGTTTTTGCTAGGCTAAACATTAAGGTTTTGGTATTAAATAGTTGGTAACTCTCCATTTATCAGTACTATAAAGATGCAAGTGAGAAATGAGAATAGCTGCCAAGTTATCAATGTAAGTTTAAAGATACTTATATTTAGGAATCTTTATTTGTAATATTCTATCTGTAATGTTCACTCTAAGAAAAAGTAGCATTAAATGTGTCAACAAATAATAGGATGAGGCTGATGAACAATATATCAACTGTTTTAAATATTTATATTTAAAATAATACTTACTCTTTAGCTCCCCTCTAAGAGGATAAATCCTGAGTTTTTCAATGATGTCAACCACAATCAAGGAAGTCAGGACCAAAGACACAGGTAGGTCAGGTAAGGTATCAGGGATGGCAGCAGATATGGTATCATTAGTACTTTTCTGAACCTGTTTTCAGAAAACCATTTGGAAACATTCCATTATTTCATTAGTCTAAAAGCAGTGCTAATTATACATACTTTTGTTAAATGACAGCAAGCTTGGTTATCCATTTCTTAATCTCCACAAAGTTTTGAACCATTTTAAAGATGTAAGAAAACTAAAAGAGCTTTCAGTTAAAGACAGAGCTTGGTAAGTACATGTAAAAAATGTAATCAGACCCAAGTAATGGTGGAATGGAGAATTTCCACCATTTCTACTGATAAACAGAGACACTGAGAATCGTAGCTCTTTGAACTAGGGGAACAAATATTGGTGCTGATGGGGGCACTTCCTTCATCTGACTGAAGTATTAACAAAAAAACCTATAGTGAGAATCATGTGAATGGTAACATGTTGAGAATTTTCCTTCTGGGATCAAGAATAAGACAAAGAAGACACCATGACCTTTCTTATCAACATTTTACTAAAGGCCGTAGTTAAGGTAGCAAGCCAAGAGAAAGAAAGAAATAGCATAAAAAATGGAAAAAAGAAAAAAAATAGTTTTCATGCACTACATGAAAATTCTCCTAAAATGAATAAACTATTATGCATATCAACAACAAAGATTTTGAAAATGAATTTTTTTTAGTGATAGCATTTAATAAAAATTTCAACATTTTTAGAAAATAGCAAGCTGATTCTAAAATATATGTAGAAATACTAAGGGAAAGATAATGTAAAAGGAATAAAATCATAGGAATATTTATTCTTCTGTGATTAACATGCTATTATAATGCTAGTAGAATTACAGCAGTGTGGTGTTAGTATAGGTTTACAAAAATAGACAAAACAACATAACAGAAACCTCAGTAATAGAACAGGTACATCGACATCTGGTTTATAAAATAAGTAGCACTGCAGAGAAATGTGAGAAAGCTATATATGTTAATTAATGGTGTACAAGCCACAGGTAGTATTTGGGGGGAAAATAATAAAAAGTCACCTCTTACTGCACAACATATTCTAAAATTAGTTCTAGATGGATTGTGAATCTAGAAGAGAATGATAAAACAATATGCCATCCAAAATATGATATAGGAGAATATCTTCAAGAATTGGAAGATCAAATTCATAAATTGACAAAATCTTCCCAAACAAGTTACCAAAACAACATCTATAAAGGAAATAAATTGATAAATTGAAGAGTTTTTAATGTAAGAACTTATCTTCCTCAAAAGTTACCAAACCTACTAAGTCACAGCGTGAAGATTTATGTAATACATATAATCAACAAAGGACTTCAAATCTAAACACACAAATAGCTCTTGTTAATCAATTTTCAAAAGGTAAACAAGACAATAGAAATAAAGGACAAAATAGAAAAAAGTCAATCTCATTAATTATTGGGGGAATTCAATTTAAAATTACAATGAGATTCAAGACTATACCCGAGTGGCTAACACAAAACAGACTTACAGTGCAAGTGCTGGAAAAAATGTGGCTCAACGGCCACACAGTCTCTGCAGCTGAGTCTAAATTCATGCAATCTTATCCGAAGACAGGCATTTTCTGCTATCACTGAGCATGTGAATATCATATGACCCATGTATTCTACTCCTATATGATTAACCAATTGAAATGCTTATGCCTGCTCACCAGAGACATATCCAAGGATTGAGTTATTATTTCTTTTAAAGATTTATTTATTTATGCACACAGAACTGAGGTACAGGCCAGAGGTGCAGGGGTGGGGAAAGGATTCACCAGAGACAGAATGGGGAATAGAACAGGCAGATCGATGAAGTACACTGCTGAGGGGAGCAGCGGGCAGGTCAAGAATGGTCTGCTGTGCCATGTGGGTCACCTCTGGGGTGGGGATCGAACTCATGCTGAAGTGACTTTAGCTTCTTAGTGCTGTGCTTTAACCTGCTGCACCACCAGAGAGGGCCTAGATTGGATTATTTTTAACAGCCAAAATTAAAACCTAAAATGGCCACCAGGAGTAGAAACTGGGTGGCCTAAGGATCAAGTGTCAGCACTATACTGTCATGGCCTGAGTTCCATCCCCAGCCAAGATACTGACCCACATGGCACAGCAGACCTCTCCTGTCCCACCAGCTGCTCCCCTTAGCAGTGTATTTTAATCCATCTGCCTGGCCTGCTCCACACTCTGTCTCTGGTAAATCTTCTCACCCTATCCCACCCACCCTTACATCTCTGGCCTGCACCCAGTTCTTCTATGTCCCCCAGAAAGCAATAGAAATCATAAATCGTGGTACAGTCACAAAATAAACTTCTCTACAGAAATGAAAATGAACTACAATTATATATAGAAATATGATTGTACCACCTTTTTCAATAAAAGAAGCCAAACTTAGATAGCTCGTCAGCTAGCAAATTAGAGATAGTGATAACTAATTTGATTTCCCTTTAAAAGAGGTTCAAAAACAAAGTCTGGGTGATAGATGGTAAGGTAAAAGTTTCCTTTGGGAAAGAAGGAAGAATGACTGGAAAGGCTTTTAGAAAGCTAGTAAAGTTTTAATTTTTTACCAGAGTAGTGTTTGCCCAAGGATTTTCTCTGTGTCATTCCACTAATATTATGCATTTATTTTTGTTTCCTTTCATATTTCCTATGTATATATTACATTTCAATGAAAAATTAAGAAAAAAGGGGAAAATACGCAACAATGGGTAAGACATACAAGGAAACAGCAGGAAAAGGAGGTCAGTTTACAGATGTACCGTCATTTTATAAGTGCTCCTTAAAAGGTTATAAACTGAGTTTTTAAAAATCTTGGGAAAATCCCAAGTACTCACAAAGGTCACTGGGGAAAGGAGACAAGAAAATGTTGACTAAACTGAAATATTCATGGGCTGCAGTTTGAAACAAAAAATATCAGAGTCTATGCCTTCACACATTGTTCTAGTGTAGCAGTAGGAAACATTCTAACAATCGTGTGATATCACACACTAACCCTACTCACCTCTCACAACACTTACCCTGTGCATTCTAATTGCCTGGTGATTATTTCTCCCTATTATCAATGGTTACGGAAGACCTGAGATTCCTTTAAAATTCCTGAGAGCTGTATCCTCAGGACCTAACACAGTACCTGGCATTGTAATATGTATTTAATGACCATGCAATACCATAAAGTAACTTAATATATGCACCTTGTGGATATAAAAATTCTATTTTTCACAGAACCTTGAAAATTAAAAAAGTTTAGGAGTATATTGCTTGAACTTCGATAAAGAAAATTCTCACAGCCTATAAGTTCAGCCTAGAATCCTTTTCTGCACACACAACAACAAGAGTCTTTTTGGGGCAGCATTCACTCAAAACATAAACTCAAAGTTATTTTGAAATAAATACTATTTGCAAAGTATGTATGACTAGATACATTTACAAAGGTTTTAAGACTATGAGGGATTGTTCCCTTGCATATAATTATATTCCATATCGAACTGAGGGCACTCATTAAAATTGGGCTTTCAATTCCTTTGCAGTTTTTATTATTTTGAAAAAAAAAATCCTGTCAGAAACACACAGAAGCAATTTTTTTAAATTGACTGTTAAACCTTCCTCCATAATTTCAGAATAAGTTATTACTTTAAATACACAGCAACTTAGTGAATACTGAATAAAATAAATTTTAAGACATTTGTAGGGCACATCCTTTGTTACATTCCAATAACAGGAATTTTTAGATTCTCAAAACTTTGCAACAGAATAAATCAAAATTCCATACCTCAGTCATTGCTATAGAAAAGCTGAAGCTTGGAAGAGTGGTGAGCACTACATACATCATCATAACAGGTCTCCTAGCAAAGGAGAAAAAAATAAGCAAAAGTAGTAATGTACAAGATCAACAGTTCCTGCTTCATTTTGCTAGTGTTGCAGTTCCTATTCCATTCATATATAGTTTTTCTAAGAAGCTACTGGTTCCCTATTTCTATTTCCCAAATGTATGGCAAATGGTAGCACATGCAAAAAAAAAAAAAAAAAAAAAAAAAAAAACAGAATGCTTTTCTAGAACAAAGGGGTGAGAGATTTTCAAATAATTAGCAAAACAGAGACTATTGACCAACACCATAATGTAATGGTCACAATTCATGTATTAGAATCTGGCTCAGTTTGGAATCTCATGACCAACTGGGGAAAAAAAAAGGAAACAACCAGCATTGCTTTTTCAAGTTATATTATATCCCATGTTGTAAAACTAATCTTTTTCACTGCTAAAAGTCCAAAGGTAGAATTGGAGTTATAATTATGAATTTCATGTATATACACGTTGACTCTCAATGCTACACAGCTGAAACCTGTATTATAGTGCAATGTTACTACAGTAACAAACAAAATAAAGTTCATCCTTCAAAGACTACATTTTGAGGTAATATACTATTACTTCATAATTAAAGCACCTGGAAATGTCTCACTGAACAAAAAAAAATCATAAAAATCAACCAAATGCTTATTGAGATATAATATGTACATGATATTATGACAGAAAGATTTAAACACCTATTTAGCACCATTAGTTTACTGAGAGATGAAATACTTTGTGAAGTTTTTCTATAATGACTCAGTTATTCTCTGTTTCTTAAAGTACACATTATATTAATTACATTTTTAAGAGACTATGTTTCTGACCACAAATATTAGCGTCTCTCAAATAACTAGCTTTCTCTTTGGTGCTGCAATGCCTCCCTCCAACCACCCTGTCTTGGATGGCTTTAGTGTGAACATGAGTTAGGAGGCAGGATACCACCTCTCATAGTTGGACCTGCCAAAACCAGTGGTAAGAAAAATTTTAAACTGGTAGCTCTGCCTCCTTTTCTGAGTCCAGATCCAGTAATCCTGAAGTACTCAACTCTCCATGATTGGCCAGAACTTTATTCATTTGACCTCTAAAAGATGAGAGTATCCCAGGGACTCTTTCTACAGCTCTCCTTTTTATTATCTTCCTAGATTATTTTGGCCAATCCCATGATTTTAAATTTCAACTGTGTCTAGTACCTCCACTTGGATATCTAATAAGTAAAAATGTCCCTCAAAGAATCAACATCATCCTTAAATCCTGACTAAGTGCCAAAATACCACCTCGGCTAACTCTTTGTGGTTAATTCAATGTCCTCTTTCAGCAGCAAAATTTCCTAATTGGTTTCTAATCTCACCTAGCAACAATGTCTCCATAGGACAGGTTTGAATTTTATTTTCATTTAAAAGTTAAGTAATCTCTTATCACTGCACTGTTCAAAAATCTCCAGTGTGGAATGGTTATTGTATATTGAGTGAAGATTTAAAAATGGCTAGAATGCAGGGATTACAACTGAGATAGAAAGAGGCACAAAATGATGTAAAAATAAACTATTATATTAGTTTTTAAAAATGGCTAGAATGATAAATTTTGTGTGCACTATAGCACAAAACACACAGGATTGTATGTTTTCATAAAGAAAATCTCTAATGGATTTATGTATATTTATGGATATATGTATATTTATGTATCACATATAAGTTTTTTTAAATTTATTTATTTTTATTTGTACAGAACTGGGGTACAGGCCAGAGGTGCAGAGGGTGAGAGGCTTCATCAGAGACAGAGTGGGGAGCAGAACAAGCAGATCGACGAAGTACACTGCTGCGGGGAGCAGCGGGCGGGTCAGGAGAGGTCTGCCGTGCCATGTGGATCTCCTCTGGAGTAGGCAGGGACGGAACTCATGCAGAAGTGGTTTAAGCTTCTTAGTGCTGTGCTTTAACCCGCTGGGCCACCAGGGAGGGGCCTCACATATGTTTTTAAGAAAACCTCCAGTGGCTGAACGCTGTCACTAGCATAAGATTGAGGCATATTCCATGCTCTACATGACCTGTTTTCCCTGTTCTCCACCCTGCTTGTAATGACTTCCCTCTGTTCCCTTCCAACTCCAGCTTTCTGGTTATTGCTAGTTTTCTGATGATGACACCAAACATGACTACTCCTTTTGCCTGGTATTCTCTACTTCTTGGTTCTTTGTCACCCTTAATTACATTTTAATATATCTCCACATGGATGGGTGGATAGACAAACAGACAAACACAAAGATAGACAGACAGACAGACAGACAGACAGACAGACAGACAGACAGACAGACAGACAGACAGACAGACAGATAGATAGATAGATAG